CTATTATAAGATGCTGATGCTGAGCTCATATTCTCTCAGTTTTGGATGATTCTTCTATACCTGCTGTATTTTCTTCCTCCTCTGACATGTTTTAGCTGCCCGCTCTTATGTATCAGCCCTGTGATTCTAAATGTTGTGTTTACCAGGATGAGCAAACTTGTCTTTCAATGTATTGTCAGTATATATATATGTGTATATATTGTAATTTACTGGATGAAGTTTCTACTTCTCTTTTTCTTTATAGGTCAACTTATTTCAGTATCAATCCTACTCTCTTCTATGAAGTTGGATTAATATTTGGCATTTTTCATCCATAATTTTACAATTTCTCACACAGTAGAACAGTTCAGCAGGGGCACTCACACTTAGTTAGAAGACTGAAAACAGAGGGATTCAGCTTTGTTTTTCTAAGCACAGGAAAAACTGTTGCCAACGGAGGCGACCAGACCGCACAAAATTGTTGACAGTGGTCCAAATCTGGTTGCCTTGGGCGACGGGGCAACCGCTACCGTCAAGCCCTGCTGTGTAAGTTATTTAGGGTCACAGTATGCTCCCTGGCCTCAACATGAGATGGCTGATAGATAGTTTTTGAGCAGAATTTAGCAATAACACGTTAAAAAAAAAGGGTTTGGTCACACAGGAAAACATCACTCCAGCTGTAATGCTCCAGCTGTCTGGACTAGTATTGTTGATTCTGTGGGTTACAAAAGGAAAGTGATTGCTGCGAAGCGCTGTGCGCAATCTAAATCTGTATCTTACAATTACTCGAACTCAAAAGAAACAAATTGAAGCAAACACTCATCAAAGTAAAAGCAAATTAGTGGGCACAGTTGTATAATTAAAGCAAGGTAATAGCAGAAGTTGGAGAGAAATGAGAAACTGTTTTAATGCTTTTAGCTAATGCTGTAGGTATTTATAAAGAACCACAGATGGTTGCAGAGTTTTTGTCCAAGACACTGAACATTGACCATATTCATGCAGGTTTGTAGTCTAAAAAAATAATTAGTTTTTCCTGCTGAGATAAGGTCATTGCAGAGGAGTTGAAGCAATGATTCACACATCAGTCTCACACATGTCCTCTTGGCAACTCAGCTCAAGGTGAGGAGATACTGGAGAAGAAGGAAAGCCTTTGAATGTAAAGCCATTTCTACAGCACAGATGAGTTTAAACACAAATCTCTGCAAAATGATGTTTGGGAGAAAGCACAGCAACCTACAAACAACATAGAAGATGTCGTCCAATCAGACTTGTTGACTTGACTTTAGTGTGTTGTTAAGGAAGGCAGGAGCTCTTTTCCTTGAAGACTGGTCATTATGTCAACAACTGAATGGCACTTAAGGTTGAGTGCCTCCACAGAGATGAAAATCTATACTCCTCAAAAGGACAAAGGAATGGAATGGTGGTTATGGCAGCAAATAAGATGTGTTTATGTCTCCTATTTGGGCTCTGAGTTTACAAGTTGAGTTTGGTGTAATTTTGGAATAATTTAAAATTAAAATAAACGTGTTTTCCTGTCTGTGGAGCACACCTGGTCTTATCCTGCACAGCCTGAGGATGAACCTAAGAAAACGTTTGTGTTATGTAACTTCGTGAAGCTACCATTTAGCCTCAAAAACATATGAAAGAACTCAATGACTCACAAAGATCAGCACTTTCAATTACTTCTGCTGTACTGGTTGTGTTCTTGTGCGTGTCGTATTACTGGCTATTGCGTTTTCCCACATCTAGGAACATCGCCTGAAGGCCCAGCCTTCCCTTTCAGAATAAAGCTCAGACCCTGCAATTTAAAAAGAAAGTGTCCTCATGTATCTTGAGAAGACCAGAATCATGGCAAAGTGACAGGAACTGTCAGGTGTATTTTTAACTAGTTGAAGTTATTCATTGGATTTGCAGGACCCTCAGCAGGAAGTTTGTGAATTATTTCTCACACTGTGTGGTACTCGTGCATCCTCTCACTGTTGAGTCCTCCGAGTGCATGAGATCAAGGCACTTCTGCTTACATTAGCAAACTTGGAGTACACTTGTTGTTTAGGCTGTTTATGAAGCCCTGAAGCGGCAGATAATCACGGTACCTGCACTTGCCTTCGCCAACTTCTCCAAGTCATTCTAAGTTCAAACTGATGCCAGTCATCAGAGGCTCTGGGCTGTCTTCAAAGGAGAGGAGGGGGGTGCTAAAACTTGTTCCATATGCAAGCCACAGCCTGTGTTCAAAGACAACCACTGAAAATGACGCTTTAATGTTTACTCCTGCAACCACGTTTCCTGCTTTCCATATCATAAGCCTTTGTATCAACAATATATGCAACAACATTGATCAAAGCAGAGTATGTACTGAAAATTGAAACATATGATGAGCTTTTCCTCCAATTTAAAAAGGAGCAAACAATAAGCCATGGGTTGCTGAAAATACATTTATGAGTTCTATAAACATGTTGTTTTAAGTGTATTACTATTTGGCTGTTGCTACTTTGCATTCAGAGATCAGTGTTACCCGTATCGCACACACTACAGGAGCCACTGCAGATTTAGCCAGATTTTAATCGTGATGGGATGAGCCCAGCTGTTTGAAGTCCGATGGGGAATCCTCTCTTATTAAGTGCCAAATGTTCCATGCTGACCACTGGCACAAAAATTATGTGTAATAAGCTCCGATCAAACACTGGTTTAAAGGTTTACATTAGGGGTTGAGTCCATTAAATGCAAACATATATGTAGGGCTGGGTTTATTTAAAATTTTTCAATACTTGAACATTTTCTTTTTTCAATACTAATTGAAACTCATGGAAAATGTGCAGTACTAGACTATATAAAGTCAGTCAAAACAAACATTAATAACAAACAGCAACGGCAATATGTCATTGTAGAGTCTAGTCTGGCTAATCCAAGGAAGAAGAAGAAGAAATGAATGACTGTGATGGTGGGTTACATTTGTAGTATTGGGAAACAGTGGCAGAGTGAGACATCTTACTTTCTCTGTACTAAAGAGCCGCTCGCCTGGGTGACTTCAGTCACTTGTCTTTTCCTCCATGGACATGAACTATTCAACATTAATGTAGTTTTTCAGAAAAACACAGCAAAGTCAGTCAGTTTAGCATGCGATAAACATAATGAGAGTGTGGTGATTGTTTCTGTGAGTTGATTTTCATACCAAAGCCGGCGGCTTAATGTGGATTCAAAATCATTGTGTTTGGTGTTAAAGTTATAGAAGACTAACTCATTTGTTATAAATGGGCTCTATAATGAAAACACCAATATAATCTTCAATATTAAATTCAAACACGTGTGGCATAAACCTGTGTTATACCCTGTGTTTAACCTACTACAATGTCTTCATTTACTCAGAACTATATTTACATGTAAATTGATCTGGAAGCCTATTGTACTGTATTTGATATTACAATTATTTATTCATAGCTGGCAAACTGTTTAAAGTTACACTGACAAAAAGGTTTCATATAGAGTAAATTGCAACTTTGTTAGAAAGTCATCCTCTGTAGAAAGAGCAATAATTAATTGCTTTATTCAGTCATTGGTTTACTTTTGAAATTATAAATCAAATGTGTTTACTTATTGTCCATTAATTTATAAGCATGTGTTGCAAAATGTTGCATTCAGTATGTAAATGACTGCCAGGCCTCCTGCCATGGCCTTGATGTAAATTCCATGACTTTCCATGACTAAATTGGAGCGCTTCCATGACCTAAAAATTTGTATTCCTTTCTAATTTGTTAATGTTGTTCCTCAGCTCAGGAGATCTAAAAAGGGGGCAACAACCTGGTTTCCACTTTGCAGTTGGGCTTGATGAGAAAAACACATTTGTAAACACATTTTGGACCTTCTCTTTGTCTGCACGGGACACACCTTGTCAAAGTTTAGTGACGTTAAAAAATTAAAATGCATTGTGAATTTTTTCAGTGTGCCACCGTGGTCCTGTGGTAACTAGGCAACAACCCCCCACGAGCTCTCCGAAGCACTAGCAGCCACATGTCAGGGTCAAGAATGGTGGAGAAGGCTTTTTGTAGACATTTATGTCTAAGAATAGATGTAAAGTACAGTTCAGACAAAAGAGGAATTTCATAAACCAGTTTCTCAGCTTTTATAATGTCTTTTTTCCAGCACATTACACGTGACTTTTATTCCTGATTATGTTTCCATTGTTGCGAAAACACTGCTCTTTTCAATCCTGTAAAGAGTTTCTTCTCCTGAATGGATGTAATTTAAATATTTGCTTTATCACTCTGACAGGCAGCTGTCCCTAATCGTTCTTTAACAGAAAATAAAAGGGCTTTGACTGAGTGTCCTTTCTTAAAAGGCACACTGATAATGTAGCACATTTATTTCAGGGAAGAAAACTGACTTAAGCAAACTTTTTTGTTTAAATTAGAAGCCAATATATCTGTGTGCTCCAGAGAACCAATTGTTTCAAGAGGTTTTTATTCTCACCTAGATTACACTGGAGGCTTAGTTGATGACAATTTCTGTCTAACATCTTTTACAACACTATGAGAAAAATGAAAAAGTGACAAAGCAAAAGGGTGAAACTTCCTCTGCAGGGAAAGAAGCGGTTTACATCAGTAAAAGGAAAGGCAGTAATTTCCCATTTTTGTGATGCTAAGCACCTCTGCCAGGGGGCTTACTGTCAACATCTTCTCACACCAAGAAGAAGTAGAGCAACTGAACATGTTAATTATTTATCGAGCAGCAACTGCAGACTTAGAAAATGCAACAGCAAGAAAATCATCTTGCATTTGAGGAAAGCGTGAGTGGATTTGAACCGAAGAGCAAATTAAACTTCCTATCTGGAGGCCAATAATCAATCATTAAGAAAGAAAAACATGGCCATTTATTTCAGCTGGTCAGGTAATTAAGGTTTTAATAGAGGTGAGGAGACCAGGAAATGAATAATTAACACTAATTATCAAGAAAGTAGGAACCACACAAGGTTTCAGACCAATTTGCACACAGGTAATACAAAATCAGGTGTCAACTGTTTATCTTACCTGTGAGCCTTTTCCTGAGCTGCCAGCAGAAAAGTTGATATAGACTGTAAGAACAGGGAGAGAAAAATATATTTAGATAACAATACAAACAGAAATAAATCCTTTAAAACTGACAGAAACATAAACCATCTCCTTCTTTCTTTAGCCTGGGTCACTTCTCTATTTAAAAGCTGCCGTAAGAAGGCAGGGCTAAACAAAACAACCTGCTTTTTGTTATTATATCTGAAAAAAATATTTAAAAGATAAGAGTAATTCTACGTCAGACCTCTAAGAGCACCGCTCATCTATCGAGTTCGAGAGCTTCTATCCAATTACCCTCTCATCGATTCTGGGACAAGAAAATCTTCGCAGAGACATTCCCAGGATTTCAAATCAATACATCAAAAACAGCAGTGTCGCTGAGAATGAATTTATAAAGCAGTTTATATTAAATCAGGCTGCCTGCACTCCAACATCAGTCAGCTTTAAATCTGACTTTAATTAGGTGATAGAACCGAGAAAGAGTTAAATTCCCTCTCCTGACTCGCTGCAGCAGGCATTAAAGGGCAACTGAGAGTGTTGATTAAAACGTAAAAGCAGAAGATGTGTTTTCTAGGAACAAGCCAGCTGAAATTCCTGCTCTAGTGTAATACCCAATACAGAAATCACACAGGAAGCAAGTCCAATATAAAAGGTACATATTTCATAAGACAGATGCAATCTTTGTGACTTGGCTTTTATGACCCAATCTGCAGTAATTTGGTCAGATATTAATTTCATCCATGCAGGGGGAACCCTCTTCTTTAATTATTCAAAGAGCGGAGTTAACTTCAAAACACTTCACAGTGTGTAAAGCCTGGAGTAAAGCCACCAGTTCAGAACAAACGAACAATGTCATGAACCTAATTATTTTAGTCATGAAAGCGCCTAAATACAACAATGGATGCAAGCCAGCTTTCAAACAGCCAACCGAGCCAAAGAAAAGTTATTTTTCCATGTACTTTTCAACTACAAGGCTTAGAAGATCTTGAAAGGAGTGGAAAATACCCCCATTAAGGTAGTGATTACACCTGAGGTCTTTACCAATTTTCACAGAAAGATACAGAGAATTTTCAAAAGGGAGAAGATCAAAACATTTCTTTTGTTTGTTGCTGCGAGAGGACACTGTTCACTGTAGTTTGCAGTTAATAGAGTCTTTTTGTGATGAGGACAGCTCGCAATATGCTTCCAATAAGAGAAAGTATTGAGACAAAATAGGGAGAAAACAAAAAAGAGATTCTTATCCTGCAGATCAAACAAGGTCTCTTGAAATGATAAAAAATAAACAGAGAACAAAATGTTTCTGCTGCAAGCATCTGATTAATCAAATTTCAGCAGACATTTTCGCATTTCTTTTAATTAAATCTAAAATAATATTAAATAGTATTACACTGTAAAATACCATGCAGGCATTTAGTGGAATTAACTAATCTTTTGTCATTAACTTAATGTAAATAAAAGCTGTATTAATTTTTTGGTTTAATTTTCAGACCAGTTCTTGCTGGAGTTGTTCTGACATAAGTCTCTTGACTTGAAATGATGAGTTGAATTAATGTACTGCTGTTCTCTCAACTCATTAAGTTTCTAAAGAAACATGATCATTAGGCTGTATTATCATATTAGCAGACGTCCCAGCATGCAGTGTTTGTGAGTTAAAACTCTCTGGAGATCTTACTGTTTTTGTTGTTTGAAGAAAACATACATGATAGAAACCTGCTGTGTGTCTTCAAACCGTGTTAAGGTTAACTTCTTATCAACTGCCCCTTTAAATACTTCCAGAAAACAAGCGTACTCTATCTGGTACATATACAACGATACAATTACAGCTCCTATAGAAAGGCCTGTGCTTGCTGCAGGAGCAACAAAATTGTACAATAGGGGAAATGTAATAATTTGCAACAAAACGCCAGCTAAACCAAATTCAAGTTAAACACATCATTATCTAATATCCATGAATCCTAATTACCCTGTGAAGTTCACAAACATAAAATCCGATCCAGCAAATCCTGAGCTCTGCAGAGCGGGGGGGGGAACGACTACATTGTCATCTGGTATCCCAGTTTCTGTCAGTATTAAAAATGCAACATTTGGCGCGAAATGGAAGTTTCCTACAGGAATACATTCAAGTTCACGATACATTCTGCTACATCTGCTCAAACTTCCCATCTTTTCATGGCTCACCCTGGAGAGGGAGAGGCAGAGACACACGAAGAGAGAGGGGGAGTAACTCCCTACATAATGTCAGGAGTGCTGATGGGAGCACCTCCATCTCATCGCCTCCTCAGTGTGCATAATCAAGTCTGTTGTTTCCAACGATGTTTTCAATTGAGCCCCACCGAAGGGAACTTGTTTGCTTTGATTTCCGAAACTCAGGAAATCACTCAACATGCCAAAAGCTCTGAATGGTTTAGCTGAATGCTTTTCAACAAGCATCTAAATGTACATTGTCATTGTAATCAAAGCAGTGGTTTGATGCAATTAGCTACGAAACACTGTGCTCAAAACAATCGGAGGGAGTCAGGTTGGTGTCTTAGCCGAATTCTAAGAATCTGACAACAAAGAAAATATGTATAGTTGGTACATACTAAACAGAAATACAATTATTCTTAGAGGTGAAAGGTTCTGCGAGAAATAGGAGCCATTTCCTTATATTGAACTTGTCTATAATGTAAAAACCTTGTTGGATTCACAGTAGTTAAGCAATGCTTGTTTGACAGTTGGCTGGTGTCTGACTTGACTTACCACTTCATCCAGGATTTAATGGGTACAGAGGGAGTAGAGAAAAATTGAGCCACCACATGAAATTACTTTGAAGTATTTAAATCCCATTAACAAAGGCAGCTACGCAGGTGTATCATATTAACTTGGTTGCTAATTAGCAGTCAGTGTCAGCTTTAAAAGAGCTCTGATAATCACGGCGTCCATGTGTGAGTGTTCAAAGCAAAATGAGATAACTAAAGGCTTCCAAAGGGGCTGAATAGTGAAGAGCCCAAACTGCAGCTGCACTGATCCCGAAAAACAAAGTTATTTAATCTCGCAAAGACAATAAAATCTAAAATCATGATAGCTTCGAAATGCTGATATTTATGGCAGGAATGCCATCCAAAAAACTCTTATGAGACCATTGCAGAAACATCCCCATGCTGAGGGCCATTAAACCTGAATTCAACCCTTAGCAGGCCCCTTCTAAAACCATCTAAAACCAGCAGCTCCCAGCAGTCAAATTCAAACAAGAACACTATCTGCATGGCACAAAAATGGTGTAAAGTGGCTGGTGAGGACAGTCCAACGAGCCAAAGAGACTCAGACTTTTCCCTTAGAATCAAATCAGGGAGTAAAAAGGCAATTAATTCTACTGGAGGTAACAAAGTGGACTCAAATGGGATTCTCATGTCACTGTGTGTCTGCCATTAAGGTGTGTTAAAATTTAAAGTTAATTTTGCTTTATTCATGCAACTTTGATGAGTTTTTTGCAGTTCATATTCACAGCAGCACAAGTACGGACTGTAGAAAGGTTCGCTGTAGATGTGAACTCGGCACAACATTTGCCTTTCTATTTTAACCATATCCACGGTCTTAACCATACCGAGTTACTTCTGGCATGGAGGTTATGTTTGTGGTGCGGTTTGTTAGTTTGTCTTTCATCCAAATAACAGAAACACTGTTGATGAAACTTGGTGGCACACTGCATCACGGGCCAAGGAAGAAACCATTAAACTTAAAATATTTTTTTGGTGTCTATGGCAAAATAAACTGAATTTGTCGCACATGTGCGACCCCTCGTAATAAGAGTGAATGGTGTGCCCCAACTACACATACAATAAAACAGCAACCTCAAACATCACTGCAGAAATAAGCAATGAGGAATGTGATTTTCCAGATTTTCCGACCTGCACCAACCTGTTATCATTACAAGAAAATGCAATTTGCATGTCATAGAAGACTGAACTAATTTGCCTTGGCATAGGCCAGCAGCCTCTGAGTGCCCTTCTAGTTATTGTTGTCATTGAACCTATTCTGGGCTTTTGCAGAACCCTTCTATGTGGATGCTCTTGTGTTTTGTGCCTGTGAAAGTGAGACAGGGACTGAACTCAAAATTTATCAACAACTCCAATTCTTTCTGCAGACCTGTCTTGACCTCAATTTGTGTTGCCCAGGACAAATCCATGTCTGTATGCTTCTTTGCACTGTGTGTAATCACACGCCCCTTAAAAAAAAAAAAAAAAAAGCTTTGAACACATTTTAAGAAGATATGATTTTTATTGTTGGTGAAAAATCCAAAATCCCAATGTCTCATTCTATTTTCTCATTCTGTCTCATTTTATGATCGAACAAATTGAAAACTTTGTGGGGACAGAAGCAGCAAACACACTATTATAATTAAACTTGCTCCTCAAAGAACTAGCACAGATGGCACACAGTTTGAGCTGCACATACAGTTGTAATAATGCATCTAATTTGTATTTTATGAAAACGGCTCTGCAAACTGTTAGGCACACAGGAAGCACAGGCTTCATCTGGCATTGTGTCATATTAAATTTAAACTTTTTATTTTCACTCAAGCACTGCCAGCAGCCATCCAGAACCAATACAGGCGACTCCCAACCCAGTTAGAGCTTCCAGCTGACATGACTTCTTAGGATGCTTAATGTGTGTAAAGATTATGAAAAGAGCTTTAGTGAAAATATTAAATTTACTCCATTGGTGATAGACAATCTGACCATAATTTAGGAAAAGAATAACTGAACGAAAAAAAGAACTGTTAACAAACACATGGTGCCTGAAATATTACTGCATATGACATACGTCAGTAGTTTATGCATCTACAGTGTATCTAAAATATGCATAGAAAGTGTCTCACTCTTCATGAATTACAAAACAGTCACTATAGTGGCCTGTGTGTGAATACATTAGCAATTCTTAGTATTATAAGTAGTGCTGTCAAACGATTAAAATATTTAATCGCGATTAATCGCACATTTTTATCTATTCTAAATGTCCCTTGATTTCTTTTTGTCCCATTATTTCTTCTCATTTTAATGCTCTTATTATTTCAGACTGGACGTGCTGTGATGATAGCTCAGTTCACAACGACAAAACACACAGATCACTTTGGTCTTGTCAATGGAACCATTTGGCAACTTTTTAAAAGTAAACTTTCCATTCAGAATATTATTGGCATTCACTTCGGCGTCTCGCGCTCGCCATCCACTCAAAACGTAACGTCTACTACTCTTGTGTAACAAGTGTGTGGGGCGTGCCTGTTGTTTTGTTTCTGGTCTATCCGATCCGGTGTGGTGTTGTAGTTTTTCTAACGTTACTAGTTGTTGCAACAGCATGTGAAAAAAACTACACAGTGTTCTAGGCCAAAAAGAACGTTAATCTCGCGCTACAAAAATTGACGCCGTTAAAATGGGTTTGCGTTAACGCCATTAATAACGCGTTTAACTGACAGCACTAGTTTTAAGGTGGCGCTGCCTGGCGAAATGTTTATGATATGGATAAAATCCTACTTTACAGCATATGTAATTATACATTCACAATATTGATATTTATATCGTGAACATTTTCATGGGAAATAAATTAAGAAATTGTTTTATTTAGCAGTGTGGTTGCAGATTGCAACTCCCTTGCTTCACCTTCCTCTTCCAAGCGTGAGGGAGAAACTACGGTGTTTGATTGTCTCTTATTTGGCTTGAATTGGCTACTATAGATATATGGAGGTTCAACATGCTAAACTCCATGGAAGCGGAGTCTGTAGATATAAACAGCTCATTCTAAAGGTAACAAAAGCACAATTATTAGGTGATTATTCACTAATGAAAACGTAGTTATGAATATTATATTACATTTCTGAAAACATTTCTGGGCACTTTTTCACTATTTATTATTTTCATAGACTGTAAGTAATTAAAAATGAAAGTTTTCTAATTATGATTCATTTTGTAGGAGGACTAAGACCTCCACTCATCCCTTAGTGAATAACTGCTGTCCTTCAGGACAGGGTTGCAAAGGCACAGGAGCTCCTTTCAGCTCCTCCCGTGGGACCCTCAAGCACTCCCAGACCAGTATATACCAGAGATATACAGTAATCCGGGATCTGAAAGAGTTTGGCCTGTTTGGATGGCATCTTTGCCGGGTGCCTGATCCACTTCTGCTGGCTCCACTCAGTATGTGGGAACCTCAGCAGCAGCTGGACCCTGAAGTCCTCTTGAATCACAGACCTCCTCACTCTCTAACCCACAGCGAGGCCGTCCAGCCTGCACAGAAATCTTGACGTGGCGGCTCATGACCGCAGTCTCATCCCTTCAGTCACTAACCAAAAGTTTGTGACCACAGCTAACGGTCAGAACAAAGACAGTGGTTTGAGAGCTTTTCTCTGTGGCTGCGTGCTCTCTGTACCATCACCACCCACATCAATCTCACAATCTTTTAACTGTCACCTCTGAGTAAAACCACAGGAACACCTGAATTGAGGTGTCTCTTAGGATGGGCAGATGGGGAAAGCAAACTTTTCCTTCCTTTTTTTAAATATAAAATTGTAGATTTCACATTTTCACATGTTCAACCATAAATTAAGATGACAACGCAGCAACTGCAACAAATCACCACTCACATAAAAACAGCATTTGAATGTTTTTTTTTTTTTAATCTAACCCACAATTTGCGTACAATACTTTGCCCCAAATATTGTACACTGTTGTATCAACAATCAAATGCAGGCTTTATGGAGAGGCCACATGTACCACAATTGAAATGCGGCCCATGTGGACTCGGAAAGAGTGCTTTATTCTAAAACTCGGAGGTGCTGCTCTTCATCCTGACTGCGTCACAGCCAGCTGCAAACCGCTCCAGTGCACATCAGAAATGACAGTCTGTTGAAGCCTCATGCACGACATCATTGAAAAACAGCAGAGGTGGCACCCTAATGTCACCAAACTGGACACTCTCCAGACCTTGGCTGCGCCTTGATGTTAGGCCCATGAATATTACATACAGGGGAAGCAGACAAGCAGCCTTGTCAGTGTCTGATGCCCAACTAAACGTGCTTGACTCCGTGCCAAATGCAGGCTACCCTGTGCACGTAACGGTGGATTGCAGCAGTGACCCTGGCTCCCCACACTGCCCTGACTGCACTGTATTTTTGACACATCCACGAGCATGAATAGTAGCTCTGAGCTATGTGTTTTTGTCCAATGTGAACATTTGCAGGTAAGCTAAAATGCAACATTTCATCATAATACAGTTATAAAACAGGGATTAAACTCAGACAAGCCTCAATTTTCCCAGGACTTGATTGTGAAAGGGTCATTGTAAATGCTACATGACAACTTTTCTTGCATTCCTAGATAACTTAAGAATTAATGTCTGTAAAATAAAGAGACAAAACATGACATAAGCATGATCAGGTTTAGAGAATAAATGCAAAACAGCGACTAACTGTAGGTTAAAAACGGATTATCCTAGGTCGAATCCAATTAATAGTAAATCAGTGTGACCGGAGGCAATTTCTTGCAGCACTAAGATTCATAGATACTCTGTTAGCCTGTAACCTGTAATATGTGCTCTTAAACAAGGCAATGTTTTGTTGTTTCCTGTGTTATTTACCCTGGCAAACGTTGCCCTTTCTTGCAGTGCTAAAATATTTGCACATCCTTGTGTGAATTCTGGGCTTTTTCCTTTTTTTTCCTTCTTTTTTATTACATTGAGACAATTTTCAGTCCAAGCAAGGCAGGCAGAGTCTCCTGTGCTCAGCATTTATCTCATACTGTTCAGCAGGACATCCACATGGTACACTGGGCCAATGCAATATTGGTCACTCACTGTAATTCTCTCCACAGCTGCAGCCACACACTGTGTACTGCACCCCACCCAATGGACGTGACACATGACTGAATATATTCTCTGTGTGCAGAACATTATGCACACTGTATGTGTGAGATCTTTATCCTTAATGGTGACAGACACAGCCCTGTATGCAAGGTGCTGTAGTGGTTAAAACATGCGTTAATGAATCCGCTTCATTCATTATTTGTCCAATTAAGCAATCAACTCAATGGAAGGGAGTAAAAATGACATTTTTCTGCAGCACATTTAACTGAAATTGTTCTAAAAAAAGTACAATGACACTCCTTCAATTTGCTGGTGAGACTGTAGGTATGGTTTTCCCCTTTCTATGGCAACAAAAAGAGGAATAAATCAGTGTATGGATCACACAAAGCGGCTGTGTTTAATCCTCTACTTTTGTTGCTAAATTCCCGGTGCACATCCAGAGCGACAGAGGAAACTCTGACTTGAGTAAAGCTTACAGTAGCTATAGCCTGAGGAGCATTCATCCCCGGGCTCGACTCCCACCAGTGCAACGTCGATGTGTCAGGAAGAAGCTACTTTACGCCGCTTGTCGCGATTGGGAACAGATTTCAGGAAGAAATGCCGTGACTCCAAAAAGGAGAGGGCTTTCAGATCTTTCCCCTGTGATCAACTCTCCTGTAAACTTATCGTTATGAGTCAGCTTCAACCCACATGGCAACCCAGACGTGCAAAATCGCCTTTCAACTCCTCAGGAAGTTGAGGCGAATCATGGCTCCGCACTTCTCCAACAGTTATGGGAATGACACGAACAGCTCGTCTCCTCCTGGCCGCTGGAAGCACCGCGTTCAACGCTACACTGTCGCTTCTTCCCCCCCCCCTCCCCAAAAGAAACACAAGCTTTTTGGGAAACAGAACAAACTGTTTAGTGTCTCATTGCCGTCCCTCGCAGCTGCCCTGGTCCGGAGGCTTCCTGACGCGAAGATTAGAAAGTAAAGTGAGTACTTACAGAGGGAGAGGAAAATCCAACAGCCTGCCACTTTGTGCCCGATGTGCGGGTTGTTCGACAGCATCCTGGGAGAGTCCTGTGAGCAGTGTAGGTTGTGGAGAAAGCTCGCAGTGCTTGGGCTTTCTGACAGTGGTAAAAAAAAAAAACAACAGGGCTTTTTTTTTTTTTTTTCCTTTTCACAGTTTCACAGAAAACGGGGAGTGGGTTTGTGCTCCGGTAGGAGGCATCCCCGTTTTCTGTAGGAGGCGCAGGGACGCGCTCTGCTGGCGGGATGAGTTCACTGAGCTGACAAACAGGCCGACCAGATGGGGGCAAAACCAGTTCATATATACGTTCACTGATGCTGCCTTCAAGTGCTCTTGTGAAAGTCTGTTTCTGAGCGGTAGACGTGGAGGCTACCATGCAGTTGAGCTTTCCTTATTGTTGAACATAATAACAACACTGAACTAGTGGCCTAACAGCTACTTTTTTTCTTTTAAAGTTTTTATTGTTTAATTTTCACAACTGCAACTTATACAGAGAAAAACCTCAATATGGCGTAACCAGAAAAAGAAAATAAATCCTTGTGATGTCTTCTTCGCTTGTTTCATCCGACCAACTGCCCAAAGCCCAAATACTGTAGGCCTATATTCAACTTATATTCATATCAAACAGGGTAAAGCAGATGGAAAATGACTTGAGTGATTATCAACACAGTTGCCGTTAATCGATTAATTGACTAATTGCTGCAGTTGTAGTCAGGAGCCCAAATTATCCAAGCACCCACGCCCCTGATGTTGACTTATTATTACATTTGATTATTGGTGTTCACATTTAACTGTTCATCTGTCTGAACAAAAATCTAATTTATATATATGACACATAAAAAAGTGTACTAGCATTAACCTCAATTTATGTGTCATTATCCAATGTAAAGTCTGACTGTGTAAAACCTCCAAATTTGGAGGAACTATACCGAGTACAAAGGTAGCTAAAGCCCTGAACCTTGACACATCAGACAGCGGGAAAAGCACAGGCGTAATTAATTGCATTAATTAACAACGGCTCCATTCTGTTTAGATCTCTGAGTAAGTCAGGTCTGTGGTTTCTGTATTTGGAACACTTAAATGAGATGCAGCCATTGTTAATATATATATATATATATATATATATATATATATATATATATATTTTTTTTTTTTTTTTTTTTTTTGCAATGTCAAGTCATAATGTCCTGAAAAAGCCAACCGGGGCCCTCAGTTTATGTCCCTATGTTGACCCAGTCTGTAGAGAACAGTTTTATTGATTTAACCTCGGTGTCTTCCAGTTGGAGACACGCTCAGTTGGTACTTACTCGGAAAAGCTACAGGGAGCAATTTATCAAAACTCTTTTCCCTGACTCTTCTTTTTTGTGACCCAAATATTTTTTAAAGTGTCTCAGTTTTTGGGAAGGTATAGTGACCAGCGTACTGAAGTCATACTTTATTTACATTATGTATTTAAGATATTCATTAAAACCCTTGCAAACCCCCCACAAGTTGCTTCACTTGGACCTCTTATCAGGACTGTGCAGGTGAACAAACTATGGTTTATTTACATCTATCTCACTTTCCTTTGAGTTAAGCTGAACTTGTTAAAGTAGGGCCCCTTCCACTTGTTTCATTCTTATAGAGAATTAGTTACATAATTTATTCCCAGTATAACATCAACCCTATTGGGGGTAGCCATAATAAGTGAAAATACCTGTGTAGGTTTACTGGGCCTGCCTGTAAATATGCATAATTATTAGTTGCATAATTGCATTACTTTGTCTCTGGAGAATGTGATGTTAGGCTACTTTTGTTATGTTATGATCCTTCCCAAAACAACAGCTTTATGCTGCACTGGTAATTGACAATGGCTACATTGCATTTAAGTGCTGCTGGGCTATTTTGCATATTGGCTTACTGGTACACCTAAATGATGAGCCATGTTTCACGTGTGTGTTTACTGCTACATGAGTTGTGCCAAGATTTTCTGCTAAGACATGGAGCTACAGGATAAATTTAGTTGTTTTTTTTTCACAGATTTGCTCAGTTATGAAATACATAATTTGAAGGGAATGGTTTTCTGCGTGCTGCAATGAAGCTAAGAACTTTATGATCCTGTAGAAATGAGAGAGGTGTCTAAGCTTGACCACCACTGGCTTGATTCTGCTTTTAAATGATAAAGAGGGAGTGTTAAATCATGCACACTGTCTGTCATGTTCACTTTATTATCAAAAGCATGAATGTGTATAAGGATGCTTTACTTACAGTAATTTGTTGAACGATTTCCGTTCCAGAAAATGAAAACATGGTCTAATTCTGTTTATATATACTCGATAGAATCATGAATATCATTAACTTTGAACATTTTGTTTGACATGACCTCGATGTTCTGAGCCCCATAAATGTCAGATTGCAATAACATGACAGCTGTGTAATTACTTTCCTCCATGCAGTTGTAGAAACAGTATTTCCAACATCCTGTGAAGGCAACATTCATTCAGATGCACATTGACAGGTCAGTCCAGATGTGTGACTATGAACAAGTCTCTCTCACAGCTAGAAACAAAAAAACCCAAGACAGCATCACCTTGAATTCTTCCCCAGTGACAGTAAATGAAAGAGCAGATTTGTGGACAGTGACGGTTACTTGATTTTACAGAGACACAGTCAGATTTTCTGGTTCATGACTTCTGGCAAAAGAAGCAAAGTGTCTGCAGTTCACTGTCACTGAAGCAGTTACATGTTTTGTGTGATGAAAGCCTCAACTCTGTAGTTTTTAGAGAGTTGCTCATGTCTATAAATATTTATAATCTGCCTAAAACTGTAAGAATAACATTGGAATTAACAAAATTTCAGTTTTCAGTTTAACAAGTGGATGTTATTCTCCAGGCTGGGTCTAAATGAAGCTTGTGGATTTGTGGAAAGCTGTGACATATAATTATGGTGTTTCCCACCTAGAATATTTCTGGTTTTCACGTTTACAATTACCCTGTTCTCTCTCTAAAGGGGCTTATATTTACTGAATAATTCAGAGGTCCCACTGCTTTGAATCTGTGTGGGTAATTAGGTTAGGGTAGGGCCAAGTTCTAATACTGTAATCAAAAAGTAAATGTGGTGTGTATAACCTCCCCCGAGTTACTCTTGTAATTATTGTTTGTTAACATAAAATTGCATGCTCTCATACTTTCCCAGTAAAAGAAAGAGGGGGAGTGTTCAGGTGTGTGCAAGGGATGATAAATTGCAGGTTTTCAAGATCTCTGTGGGTATGATGTCTATGTACGGTGGCCCTACAGTATGTAAATACCACAGTGAGGATTTACTCCATGGACTGTGTGAAATATACAATACATTTCTCTCCTTCATTTTGTTATTTTATGTCTCACTTTACCCTTGTTCATCCATAAAATGCACAGCTAAAAGCCCTCTAAGCTCCACTGTTACATGTTCTATATAACCATAAATTGTAACGTTTAACATGATTTGTTTATAAAATATAAAGATGACAAATTTGAAAGTATGTAAGCTTTTATTAATAATACAATGTATGCCAGAGCACATTCACAACCTCTTAGATAATACATTTAAGAAACAGATAATATATATCAAAGAAAAAGAAATGTATTACACAAACTAGAGCCATAATCAATGGGTGGGATATGTTTTCTTTTTCCTTTAATTCTATCACATTTTCAGAATCAGGACAGCTGGCTCAGCAACGTTAAATTCTCTTCATCTCGGCCCATAATTTATCAGAAAGAAAGAAAAGATGAATTAAAGATTTCCCTACATTTAATGAACTGAAACAAGACCCAACACAGACACATTATCACCTCTAAGCTAATATGGCTACATGTTAGCAAACAGTCCATTGTTGATATAAAAATATTGGATATAGCCACCTTAAGGATGAAGGTCTATATATATCTTCATATATATTTAAATATATAATATTGTAATAAAAGTTATCTATGAGCAACCTTTTGCTTTACTCATGAGTGTGTTTTTGTAGAAAATCACTCACTACAGTACTCCAGTCTCAAGATATACTGAGAAAAATGTGCTATTCCTCATGGACTGAAGTCATAAATGTCAAAGTTATCATTCCTGCTCTGTGGTAACAAGTTCCCAACCCCTTTTTACTTCACTTCATACCAGCACTAAGACTTGGACAGTTGAGTGTTTCAAAATGCAAATAAGAGCAATTTTGTGGAACAGCACTCTGGAAAGCATGTTACTGAGCTCCCATTTTAATGCAAGCAGCTTTGGATCCTGAAAAACAAATGGAAACCTTCCAGGGAGCACTTGCAGTTTTATTAGGATCAGTTTTGACATTTCCATCGTTTTACTTCAAACGATCTGTTGTTTAAAAAGCCAGTTGGGTAAGATTACATATATGTGGATAATTCCCACGATTATTTAATTCTATTTAATTTTTCTTTGCTCTGTCTTTTTCGTATTGAGTGCTGCAATGACCCAGTTTCCCAATTGTGATCAATACAGTTTCATCTTGTTCAGTTGACTCCAGTTCCTCAGTGCTGCTTATAAAAGGATCAATACCAGCAAGGGAGAGGTCAGGTCTTACACTGCTGTTTGGTAGCTCCGCAGTATTAAAGCCTTTCAGAGCGCAGCGGTTTGATAGCTTGTTACTATGCCTGACAATTTCATGACAGAGCCTGAAATGCAAAAGAAGACACACTCACTCTAAATATAAATCTGTCACTTTTTAAGCTGAATCTGGTGTTAGACTTGCATTGCATATGTACAGTACTGTAGTCTTTACTGTTGTAATGGTAACTCACCCAATCTTGTGTTCCTCTGAGTAAAATGTGCTTTTAATCTTCCTCGCTGTCTGTGTCACTGGTTGATGCTGGAGGAAGTCTCAGCTTACTGCTCGTCTCTGACTGTAATTATGCCGCAAGAGGAGCAGACAAAGTTCAGTTTGACATGTAGAAGGGGTAGAGACAGAAAGGAAAAACATAGCTTGCACAGCTCACCTTTAGTCCCCCTCTGTGGGCGTCAGTCTTGTCAGGACTGATAGCATCAGACGGACATGTTTTGAAATTCAGAATTTCATGATCTGGCATACTCAGGGGATCAATCAGCACCTCATAGGGGACAGCAGGATGCTTCCAGGAAGAGGAGATGTGGATGCTCCAGCTTTCAGATTGCCCAAAGGTCCCTGTGGATAAAGACAAAAATGCTCCATTTGGATGTTTTGCCAAATTGCACAACATGGTGCTACAGGAATGTGACACAGTCACAACTGTGGCTTCTTAAAATGTCACAATGTCTGAATCTATTTGAAATCAATTCTCTGCCGCAGTGCTCTATTGTGCAGCACACCTCCTACAGAACTACACAGAAATGTCAGCTTTATCTCTAAAGTATTATGAATCGGTTTGAAAAGGACTAGTTTAAGCAGAAATACAAGAGTTAGAACAGAAGATAGACGGCACCATATCTGTGTTAAAAATAAAGCTACAGCTAGGAAACAGCTAACATAACAGGCCCAAGATAACCAAATTCACCAACTAGTATCTTTGAAGCTCATCAATTAACATGTTATATCATCCTTAGTTTCATCTCACCATGCTTTAAAATGAAAATCTGGGGTTCTACTGGGGTTATTTGCTACTTTCTGGTTGGAACAATTCCTTTAAGGATAGTTTTAAGACCTATATTTAATTATCAATAATATTGTGCTTACATGGTACATATTCCTAAATTAATTTATGCTATTTAAAAAAAAAACTGCAAAACACTGCAAACCTAGGGCCAGGTAGTGTGTAGGAGTACTGGTTGTTTACTGGCACTTTGATTAAGCTGCAGTGTATTTTTTTGTATGCACTGTACTTGATGGGTACTTGAAAGTCACATACTTTGAGAGTGGGAGGAAGGTGGTACCATGGGGGGCCAACAGGTAATTTTTACCCCAAGTGGGTTATTCCAGTCACATGTACTGTCACACTGAAATGAACATGCCCATAAATAACATTTCCACCTTAATCACAGCACCATGCTCAAGATTAATGTTATTTGCATGAACATTGATAATGTAATAATGTAAAGTAATGTAAAGAGGGAATTGACAGATGCAAAATGACACCCACCTATGAATTCTCCATGTGCACTCCAAAGGCGCACAGTGTAGTCAGTGGATGAGGTAAGCACCACTTGATCATTGTCAACAATCTCTAGGCTGGACCAGAATAAAGAGACATGAGATGAAATGGGAGAAGGCTTTTCTGGCAGAACACTCTAAATCATCCACTCGGTTGGTATGTCTGAGGGCAGATGCACCCCGGGCAGCATCTCACCTATACTGATCGTCTGTTTAAGACCTTCCCACACACAGTCTCTTCTACACTTTGTTTTAAAGCAGCAGAAGGAAGTAATGCTGTTCCTGCTGCAACCGACACTCCAGAATGAACTCCAGTGTGTAACATTTGAGGATAATGTCCATAAGTCTGTTTTCATTAGTGCATAATCACTTGGAAATAAGAATCATTGTTTTTTTATTACCTTAGAATGAGTCGTTTTTATCTACAGAGGGAACGGGTGCTCTAGCCTGTGCATTAATCCACGCTAGGACACAGTCAGTCTAATTGCTGTTTAACTGCAGTTGCCTGATGATTTTAAATGACAGGATACATTTGTGATTGCCCATGATAAAGCCTGCTGTGTATTTCTCATACCCAGTAATTCTGCTGGTGTGGGCACGCCAGAAGATTTCAGCTGAATAAAAAGAAAAAACAAACAATGACATTTTCACAAAAAGGATTTTACACATTCTGATAGACAGTACATCTTTATATTTTCATTAATGTTTAATTAAAGTCAGTGGCAAGAATAATAACACAGCTAACCTCTGGGTGGTTTTTCTGTAGGAGCAAACTTCTCCATGTCGTAAACGTAGATGTAACCAATTCGGTCAGCAGCATACAGCAACGCGCCCTTCTCTGTTTTAGCCAGTTTTTCGATCTTTTGTTGGAATCGAGACTGCAAAATGGAAATATAAATTGTGTGAATGTACTAGCATTGACACATCACCATGTATTCATTATTTGGCAATGGCTCTCTTCCGTTTAAACTAAAAGAATGAAACACTACCACCAAACCGTTATCTCCCCTGTGGTGTATAAACGTTACCTTCCCTGCAGACAGACTTAATACATTCCCCCAGATAATAGTCCCCTCCAAACAATCTGACACACGGTATTATACAAAATGTGCCAGGCAACAAATTATGGGAGCTAATCATGAAGAAATGAAAATACATGAAAATAAAAGAACCTAAAAATGAAGGGCCATTGTTGCTAGGTAACAAAAACAAGTTACCTTTTATCATTTTTTTACGTGTAAAATATTCACGTTTTTTATTTTCATAGCCTAAAAATACAATTTCTGCTTTCTTTAGGAAGATTTCATATGCACATGTTTTATTTTAGCTTCACCAACCCCCCCAATATTAAGGGTTCCTGCTTTGAATTATGAAGCTGCGAGGAAGATACCCTACCTGCTAGTTGTTTAAAAACTAGAACTAAGCAAAGAAACTGTGCACCACAAATTATCTAACTGTTTAATCAGCAGTTTAAAGGTAAGAGAAAGAAAAGTAAAACTGGAATCCCATCCCTTGATATCCAAAAGTGAAACTAAGAAATGTTGTTGAGTTAGATATCTTACAGCTCTGAAACTACCCACTAAAAGTCCTCCACTGAGCACACTCCAGAGATCTACACAACCTATAAAAGAGAAAAACACATAATTAACAGTGTATTGACAGACATTGTGGAAGGCTGTAAAGTGCAATCATGCGCTGTAATTACTGTGTTCATAAGACTGACCCAAGGCTGCGGACGACACAAGAGCTGTAGTGGAGGAAAACTGCTGTAACTTGGAGTTCTTTAGGAAAATGATGCTTGGAACACTTGTATCCAGTCCTGTGTAACAGAAAAAAAGACAAATGTAATGTTCTTATCACATCAGAGGTTTTTATTAAATACATTCATCATTCACTTTAAAGCTCCCAAATCACCTTCAACATTTTGCTGTTCAACTAGAAGGGGGCTGACAAACCGACACTGTATACATCCAGAAACCACGTTCCACACAATAATCTCTCCATCGTAGCTGCCGGTGGCTACGAGAGATGGGGGACACTGCGCCACGCAAAGGATGTCCTCCTTATGGCCATTTGTCTGAGGAAAGACAAAGTGCAAGTCTCTCTTAACAAGTCAAATAAAAAAGTGAATTTATTATATCTTTACATCTTTATTTGCACATAAAAAAATATATATATTACATTTCCCATCACGTCAGCATGTGTTTAACCAACTGTGAAAATGTGTTAAAGCTTCACAGTTTATCTCTTACATTGGCAAGAGAAGTGCAAAGTTTCTATCATCTCTTGTTTTAAGAGGAGAAAAAGTATGTTGAAACAGATAAAGCTTGATATGGTACTAATGGTACAGATTATACAGCCAAAGGAATAGTTTTTGGTCCCACTCTATTTGTTAAATATTAAAGCTCCTTTCCACCTTTTTTATTTTTTATTTTTTATTTTAAAAAATTAATTTTTTATTCCTTTTTAAGGATTTTAATGTGGAAATTATACTTTTTTATGTAAAATACATATCAGACACATATTATTGTTCCAAGCAGAGTATTAATGTCTTAGCATATGTCTGGAGGCGATCTAGGTTACTGCATGCAGCCGCTTATCTTAACACAGACTGGAAGCAGGGGGAAACAGTTAGCCTGGTTTGGCTGAAGGTAAAAAGAAACTACTTAAGTTCTAAAATCACTAAAACTTACTAATTAACGTGTTATATTTTGTTTCTTTAGTGTAAAAATGACTTTTGGCCATAGCCAGACTAGTTCTCCTCCTCATTTACCACTCTTCATGCTAAGCTAACTGTCTGCTGGTGGTAGCCTATATTTCTCAGACATTTTACAGACACGAGAGTGGTATCAATCGTCTCATTTAACTCTTGTGTAGCGTATTTCCCAAAATGTTGAACTATTACTTTCACCCTATCAGTTTAGAAATGATCAAGGAGTTTGCACACTTCACATAGTGAGTAAATCTCTTAAAGGTCATCTGTCTTTTGACCAAGAACTTCAAATAAAAGTCTCTGTGACGAGCTAAGGAGTCTCATTAAACAGTGGAGAAGAATCATGGAGAGAAAAATATTTTGATATTGTTTTAAGACATGTATGAACAAAGAGTTTTCACTGAAGTCTTGTATTTCATTTTTTTGTTATTTGGCCAAGTGTATCACACATTTTGCATCAACGACTGACTTGATTTCCAACCCCTGAGGAAGGAGACAAGCCTAACTGTACTTCACAGTGATACAAAGCGATTCATCTTGTTCTTATTTCTCACTGAACTCAACGGGAATATTTTTGCTCAGAGCGGGGCTGCCAACAACAAACTACACAAATCAGGAAAAGCAGATGGCATTTTGGACTTAGGCACTGATTATTGAACTTACTGTAAACTGTATTTCAAGCCAAAGTGAAATATTTTGCTGAACTGGGCCATGTTTTAAATTTTTAATGAGATGCAACACAGCACTGACCATCTGGAGGAACAGAGAAATTCACAGTGAACCTGAGGCTTGGCGGATAAGGGAAAGAGACCAATATACATAGAAAAAGCCATTGATCTTCCTCCTCCAGGCCATTAATGAAAAACAATTTCAAGAGAGGGCTCTGTAGATAATCAAAGGGGTCACTTTTCTTACTGGTGACTCTAATGCAATCTTTCTGCTCTGTTAATGGGCCTCTTTGGGGTGAGTGTAACCACCAGCCATAATGGAAGAGATGGAAAGGGACTAAGCATCACCTCCTCCAATGGATCATACAGCATTAGTAAGACTTCATGTTCCCTCCTACAGCTCATGTAGAGAGATAACTGTACCCTGCTGTCAGAGGTAACCTGACCACATACTGCATCTAAGATCCGATAAAAGAATCTATTTTGTGATATTATTGGGTACTGATGGTAAAGCTTTAAGAGCATGAGGCTGCATTCATTATTACAGTTGGTGATTTACCTGATTATAAAGCAACATAATGTGTGTTATATTGTATCACATAGAGCAGAAATTGGAATTTAGGTTTTATTGAAATATTGATAATATGAAACTATTTGACTGATTGCCATGAAGTTTGGTACGGATATTTATGGTGTTCAGATGGTAAATCCTAATTATTTTTGGTGATGCCTAGTTTTTTTCTCTAGCACCTACTTTGGTTTATGACCATGTACAAAACTAAAATTAAATAATTTATCAACCACAGCTGTAGTTTGTGTTTAGTGCTAAATAGCATATGTTAGCATGCTAACCTGCTAACCTAAGATAATGAATATAGTGAACATTATATCAGCTAAACAAGTTAGCATGCAGACTGTAGCATTTAGCTCAAAGCACCACCACAACCTTTTTCACAGCAGCTATTTTGACATGAGATAGTGGGGTAATCACAGGTGTTACCAATGATACCAATTAAGGTTTTGTTCCATTTAGTATATAAGAGCCTTTCAGGTGAACCAATATAGCAGCACCCTGACACAGTTTGACCTGAATGGGGCTGAACCTTAATTAGTATATTTAGTAACACCAGTATTTACCCTACTATTTCATGCCAAAAGGGCTGCTGTGAAAAAGGTTTGTACAACCTCACAGACCCGGAGTCTTGTGTGATACACTGCCACATTAGTAGTTAATTAGAAAAATATAAAAATGTGGATTATTTTACCTATAGGAAATACAGTAGTCTCAAAGTTGGGTGACCAAATTATGAGTTTTCTTTCACGATGAGATATCCATCAGTTCAAAACCTTCTCTGACAAAATGATCAATGATGAGAAATACAGAACAGAACATCAATGGTGTTGGCACTGTGACATGCCTTGGATTACAATCCTGTGACATTTTAGAGAATCGAATCATTCTTCTTGAAATATCTGTATAGCTTTTTGAATACACAGTGTCTAAACTTTTGTTTCCGAAACTAATCCTGAAATCATTTTATGTGCAAACTAAAATGCGTGCAAGAAAAAAAAAAATCACAGGGGATAAGATAGTGATGTAACCCTGTATGACACTGTGGTGGGGGTGCATAGGGAATTTGGTGCACTCCTTGTGTTTTGAACTGAGTCAGTGATAAAACCATCCTTACATTTCAGTGACACCTCTGGAGCAGAGCCTGTCATAAACTAAAGGTATACTGACAGGTCAAAGCTTGGCTGCACTGGGACTCAGACACAGAGAAAAGCTTTGTGATGTGAGGACATCAACAATGGTGTGTACGGGAGAAAACATTACTAAATATGATCAATAAATATTATACAGTACACAATATAAATTAGTATATACAGTATTGGTACAAGAATATTGCACACGTATTAAGAGAAACAATGGAAATTCTCCAAACTGAGATAAATGGAACAAGGAAAGAGGGAGAATAAAAGGGAGATGGGGGGATGGGGTAACTTGCTGCTTAAGTTAACATTTTTTCTGCAGGCTATGCTGCACAGTAGGGCAGAGATCAGGGAGGCTTTGTTACCTATCTCTCTCTGAGCTTTCCAGCCAGTCAGCAAAAGCGATTCTTAGGACCAAAGACTACAGTGTCTCCTCGTGTCCATCTAATATGAAGGCAAAACCAGCAGGGAAGCTTTATCTTCACAGCCCATAGGTGCATCAGAGACTGAGGCACAGAACTGGCCAAGCACCCCTACTATACCTAAAAATTCTACTTAAATGTTCTACAAGGAGTTTTTAACTGGTTATGAAACTGTCTCAATTTAATAGTGTTGCCGCTGACCTACAAAAACAAACCATATCATCAGAAAGTAGATTAGCTATTTCTCTGTAGTTATCCTTAATGACCGCCACCAGGTCAGATTTGCTCGGATTCCTCTTAAAACGAGGCCGTAGAAACACTACCGCTTCTGTCCACAGGGGCCGCCAGAACCAACACAAACGTTCCTGAGTGAAAGGGGCTTTAAATATAATAGCTATACTTCACTACTTTCCACCACAACAAAATGCAAAATTGATTTGAATACGTTTATAAATAAAAAATAAACTGCACCAAAGAAAAAACAAGCAACATGATGATTATAAATAGATAAATAAGGTGGCAATTAAATAACTACAGAGCTAACTCACATTGTGGACTTGCCTGATGTGCTTTTGATCATGCATTCAGTTCACAACAAAAAAGACCCAATTTGTCCTTTAGTCACTTTCAACACAGAAAGCTGTGCTTTTTAGAAATGGAAGAATAATGACTGAATACATCCAATGTTACTACTGCTGTCATCTATTCTGCCTGAAATAAATCTCACAGGGGGAATACAAAATCTCAGTTGCAGCCGATTGAACTACTCATTATTTTGGTCTGCATTAACTTTTCTGAAAGTTATTGTCAAGACAGTTTTAAATTCATTAATCACCAGATCATCCTGCCATGAAGGCTGCGGCCTCTGGACATGATGGTGGTCCTCTGGTATGTCCTGACAACATACAGATACACAGTCAGCAAACGGGAAACATTTTACATATCAATAATATTTTGTTTAAAACCTAAAAATAGCTGGTAGAACATCCTGTTTGAACACTAAAAATCTTATTAACCAGACAATAACAAGAACTGTCATCAGCCATGCAGCAAAAAATGCATATACTTTCTCAGTTGTCTGGTTTTATAATGAAATTCAAAATAGGCTATATGAACTATCAGTTGTGTTTTTACTGTCAGAATGGAGTTCGGCTGGTAATAACCATGTAAACAAATGCAAATGAGATGCAATGTGATAGAGGGATGGAGGAATTGGAGAAATAATTGGAATGGGATTTCTGAAACTCAGCTGACAAATAATACCTAGAACTCATGTCTTTTCTTTTGTACTCACTGAGTAAATGTCAATCTTCCGGTCCCGGCCGACAGACATCACATAGCTTCAAACATAAATTGCACAAACTCAACATGGATTAAAATTTATATTGAGCCAAGAGCACTTGCCAAATATCACATCATTACTCACAAATTCCTGTGAACTTTCAGAAAGATACAGTCGAACACCTCACGAGATTCACCATCTACAGGAAAGATTTAAAGTGATTGTTCACTATTGCTGGATAATACAATATTTCAAACATTGTATTTTGAGGGAATAATGAAAATTTACAGTACATACCTTTTTGTAGTGTCTTTAGGCACTGACCATTGTTGAAGTTCCAGATCTTTAGACAACCATCTCTTCCACCTGTGATGAGTCTGCAAACACAATAACAAACTGTGGTGTGATAAAGCAGTGGCTGAATACATATTTTATGAAAAGTGAAACAAGCTTGTGTACTGTACCTCCTCCCTTTGGGGTCAAATGTCATGCATGTGATGACAGACAGGTCATGTGTGCCACCAAACTCAAAAATCTGACGTCCAGTGTCAAAATCCCAGACTTTCACCACCTAAAACCAGTAACCTTATGAATTAATTGTACAGTTGATATACTGTACATCAGATAAATATGGTGGTCATGTTCCTGTTTACACAGACTGGATTCATTTTCTGGTTGAAATATAAAGTTGGTCATCTGTGTCCGTGATGTTGTAAAATACTCATTTACTCACAGATCCCTCAGTGCAGCTGACAACTTGACGAAACTCCTCACTGTAGCCGCAGCACATTACAGGCTCATTATGCGAAACAGTCAGACGGCTGTGAAGCTGTGGCCTTACAGAGGAAAAGATAACAAAATGAATAACAGGGAGATGAATATTAAGGAGCTGCCGTCATATCTGAAGAAAATAAATCTTAAATTCTGTATCATTTGGGTAAAGTCGGATGTTTAATCCCTTAAAAGGAAATCTTCAAAATCATCAGCTGTCTTCTTCAGTTTTAGAACTTCACAAATCATCATCCTTAAATTAGCTCAGTGGAGGAATATTTTCAAAATATCTTCAGAGTACATTGGAGTCTATGATGAATAAAGCACAAAGGCATGACAGCCAACCTTATCTTCAGGGAGAGCACAGCCATACAGTCTGCTGCAATGTAGAGGGATCTCATAGCAGAGGAATACGAGCATGCAGATATGTCACCATGAATCCTGTTAGCTTTGGGCTCTGCTGTAAACAAGCAACACTGATCTTGAATATCCCAGATCTGAAAAGTGTGTGAAAAGCAAAGGAAAAGGTATTCACATAATTTATTTTAACTTACAGATTCACTTTAACCACACTATAGAAATAGACAAGTAAAAGTACATGAGCATCAGCAATAATACTTAAAGTATCAAAAGTAAAAGTGCTACTCCTGTCAGTGTTATACTATACTACTGGTTCATTATTATTAATGTATGTATGTAAGTAGTACTGAAACATTGTAGCTGGTAGACTTGGAGCTAATTTATACTGCTTTTTATACAGCTGTGTAATCTGGAATTAACTCATTTTTTTTTAAATGATTAACATTTGTGTGTAACATCTTAATCTGAAAAGTAACTATAGCTTTCATATAAATGTAGAGGACTAAAAAATATAATATTTAAATTTGAATTGAGGTGGAGTTGAAGTAAAAAGTAGTATAAAATGGAGAAACTCTTTCTTTCTGTCTCAATAATTCATTACTTGAGTAAATGATTTAAGTTGCTTTCTACCACTGTTGGTGAAAAGTCCACAGTAGTTAATGTATATAGGGTGAATGCTGTATTCATTTTCATAACTTAAAGTGCAAAACATTAAAACTGAATCGTGACTCACTTTCACAGTTCTGTCTATGGAGACTGAGAAGATCTGACTGTCCGCTGAGAAGATACCGAGGTATATGATGGGAGCAGAGTGGCCTTTCAAAACACCAGTTGGTTTCCTAAATAGAAAACCAGAACCAAGACAAGTCTTTAAACTACTGTTAATTGTCTTCAAAAAAGTCCACTGAATTCTGACTCCTCACCCAGAAAAATGTGGGTTCCACATGCGTATGAGTCTGTCCATGCCTCCAGTAACCAACAAGCTGTGCTTCTGACAAAGGTCAAACGTCTTGACACCTTTGTGGATGGTGAAAACTCTCTGGTCACATGATGCGCGGTGCTGTGGAGTCCAGCTCAGTTGGACCTTCTTGCTCTTACCTTCGTAGCAAGCCTCTCTGATCTCGTTCAGCTGCTGCTCAGCGTCTGTTAACGGCAGCACGCGGCCTCAAGAAGAAAAAAAAAAGCATTTTTATTACAAGGCCATGAGCATCGATCAAAACATGCTTTTTGGAGCAAGGGTGAGTCATTATCAGAATAAATGACCAAGCTGGCAAGTGGACATGGGTGATCACACACACACACACACACACACACACACACACACACACATGCACATACTGTAAATAGACATGCTGGCATTGATTGGTAAATCTGTGATAGATGAGTCATCAAGATTCATCCCTCACAGCTCTCCTACCAGGCAGCCTAATGTTCAACACAGAGTTTAATTACTGCACATTGTAGAGTGAATTTTCTACTATCATCTTTAGCGTGCATAATTTTTTATTTGGATCTTAAATCACAGAAGAACAGACAGGTAAGTGCATTTTAACTGCAAGTCCTGATAATTAAAGTTTTGGATTATTTGTTAGATAGTGCCAAAAAGAAAAAAAAAGCCAAAGACACAAGATGAACAGAAATTACCTATAACGAGAGATGAAGATTCTTCATTTGATGAGGAGACAACAGCTTGAAAACCTTGAAAATATTTGGCCTAAATATAAAGAGAAGAGTTAGTTGCTCAGTCTATGTCAGGATTATCTGTTCATATTGCAAAAATATGTATTGTTACACAGCTTCTGCAGATACTGTGAGTTGTCACTTGGCTGAACTTAAATGTATTTTTGTAAGGGAAGTGTGTATATATATATATATATATACATATATGTATATATATATATACACACACGGAAAGGTAAAATGTCACCTGTGTCACCCAGTCCTGATGAACCTTCCATCTGACAAATGTCACGTTCGGAGAAAGCACTGCATTGTCAATCGCTATGTTGGGTATATTTTCAATCTTCGGTAATTTATTCCATAGTCTATAAAAAGAGAAGCTGAGATGTAAAATCAGGAATGAAACAGGTCACATTTTATCAGGCACAGCCTCACATACATACAGAACATGTTATTTCTTTGATTGGCTAGGGAACCTATACCAGAAGGTATAATTTTCCACCACATCTTTGAAATTACTTTACTAATATGACCAGGCTAATCTTTCCACACACTATCCTACAAGCAGAACAAAATAACCACATGATGATTACTCTTAAAGTCATACTATGAATCAGACTTGCATACATGCAGTTTCATCCTGAATACACTGATAATGCCATTTAAACTAAAAAAGGGCATTACAAAAGAGAACTTTTAAAATGGTGTTGGCCACAATATGGGTGAAATACAAAGACCTACTAATCAATGATTCACTCACCACTGACTCACTCACTCACTCAAACAACTACTGTATGACACAAACAGATTTCTGAAGATTTTTTACAGCCAGGGAAAAAGATACAATCAGATGCATTTGCAATTGTTAAATGTGACTGAAGATAAAACATTTCTTCATACAGCTCTAAATATCTACCTTTGATATGTTTGATTTACTGCAAATGTGAATGAACATTTGAAAATAAGTCTTAACCTTGAAAAACCCATGAAAAAAATCCTCAAGAAAGGAAATCATAAATCTCCATCTTATTCAGTTAAAAGTTCTTTCAACCAATCATTGTACGAATTCAAAGAATTCTCATGTTATTTTGCTCAGGAATAATGCCCCAGACAATCACTCATAGGACATATTCTTGTGTCTGTTTTTCATTAACAAATTCCTTTTGATCAGCCAACAACATGATCTGGGAGAGAGGCATTACAGCAGTATATACCATGGTATGGAAATTGATAATACTGTGTACATTTGCTCATCTAGGGTATTGAATTTTACTGTATCAGTGTTATTTCTAAAACATATAAAGAGAAAAAAAAAAGATTTCAACTCCATCATTTAATTCTCCCATTCCAAGCACGAAAAAGGCCCCTATATACAGCCAGTAATCAATGTATCCGTTCTTTCTGGGCTACTGTAGAAACATGGCAGTTTAACATGGTGGACTCCATGGAAGGCAACCTGCAGCGTCTGTAGATATAAACGGCTCCTTCTCAACGATTCCTATTTTTAGGTCATTATACTGTAATGAAAACATACCTGTGAATATTATATTCTATTTCTGCTGATAGAGACTTTTCAATGTTACACACTAGACCTTCAAATACATATAGGACATAATATTATGTTAACTTCTGTTTTTATTCCTTTAAGGGTCCCTGGTTGATGCCTCCCTGAGGCTCAGCTGAGTTTGCTTTGGTCGCAGTCTAATCAATGACTGAGAAGCTGGCATAATATTGCTGGAAAAGATGCTCAACATTTTCTGATACGATGACACTGTAAGCTTAGTGTAAACTATAATAATACTGGTATAATGTTTTATTATGTTAATGTTATATGTTAAACATTGTGCTCTCTGTACTCCAGTGTACAGTGTGCACAATGGTTAACTGAACAACAGAAATGAATGTGTTGTAAATCTTTTGAAAAGCACAATTACCTGAGAGTATCTCCAACAGAGGATATTAAAATGATAGTCACACATCCCTGAAACACAAAAACAAAACTTAAGCTGTCCTAGTAATAATCAAGAGGGACATAATGAACATTTTTGTTTTATAATTGGATCCGATTTTAACAAAAGTTCCTACCTCAGTGTCTCCATACAGAATACAACATTTATCAGGGCCAGTGTAGCTGTGAGGAAACACATAAACCATCAAATGTTGAGACTTATGGTGACATTTGGAGGATGTGTTAACATGCAGTTTTGTTGCTCACCCGTAGTCTAAAGTCAAAGGCACAGTGTCTAGTGCATTGATCTGGCAATAAGGCTCCAGAGTGGAAAGCTCATAAAGCTGGAGCTCTCTGTCCCTGCAAGAAAGACACACACAATAAACAACGCTAGAGCAGTCTGGGACATTCAGTTAAAGAGAGTAACCAATGTACTCAGTAAATAATTTGGTCTTTAAGTAATTTTATTAAACCTCTTCTTATATTACCCCGTTCCAATCATCAGCTTGTTGTACTCGGTCATCAGAGTAAAATCACTTGCCCACTTTGACTTCCTGTTTGCAGGTCCTTCATTCTGCAGAAAATTAAACACAAACACCTTCTATGGATAATATTACAGGCTAAGTATTCTGCCTTTTTCTAATCATCAACAAATTCCTTGAAAAGAAGCAAACCGACAATGAACTGATCTTACTAACAAGTGTGGCTTGTGTAGCCTTAACCTGATTCATCCAACAACTATTGAAGACACATCAATGGCACTGTCATTTATTATGAGTCACTGTCATATACCTGTCCTACTGCTGTAAATACTCACCAAGTGTAGTAATCAGCTGTTACAAATAATCCCCAACATATGCAGTACTTACTCCGGTTTGAGTCATTTTTGTAAAAACAACAGTCCCCAGCTGTTTTAGCATCATTTTAAGGTATTTGCGACATGTTTTTTTTTATAGATTTCTGTGCCACAGACAGGGAAAGTATTGAAAAATGTACTATCGCGTTGTTGATTTTGGTCTTTTTGTGGGATTTCTTGACCGTTAGAAAAACAGAATGATACCAGACTCATCCTTAAAGTATTCAGGTAAATGTACAAAAGTTAAAACATACAAACATGTGTTTGGTCTTCAGTGGTTTAAGTTCAGGGCTCCAGTAGCAAACGGCCCCATCTTCTCGTACTGTGACGATGGAGCCATCGTGGGTGGAGTGGATGTTGACAATGGGAACGCTGTGACACAACGCCTTCATGGTGGCTGGCAGAGTGAAAGCCACCTGCTTACTGCGTCTTGCTGTTTCCTGCTTCTCTTTGTACTCCTGCAGCATGTGTGTGCAGAAGTCATCCTGCATCACATTACTTCGTGTTAGAACTGGTAATGTTCTGGTTCTCATGTCTTCATTTTGATAGTCATAAAATTGCTATCATGGTCATATAAGAAAGGGTGTAGGTTTGAATGTTATTTCCTACATTTGATGTGTATAGAAATGATGAAATAATGAGATGAGATGCATATCATGCTTTTCAAATTAATGGTAGTCAAAAAAAAGGAAATGCAAATGCTCTGTAATTGCTGTATTATTAATTCACTGACCTCACTGAAAGGCTTAGTGTGTAACATTTAGGAGGATCTATTGGCAGTAATGGATTTATTTATCATAACGTTTTCATCTGTGTATAATCACCTGAATATAGGAATTCTTGTGTTTTCATTACCTCATTACCTCATCTATTGATGCTTGCAGCCACTGTAGTTTCTCCTACACTTCACAGCTAGTTCTCATTCCCAGGTCATCGAATACAAATGCAAGCAGTGTTCAGTTGGTTGCAATCTGAAACTACACCGCTAGATGCCACTAAATCCTACACACTGGTTCTTTAAGGTCACATTTAGTTTTTGTTGATAGAGTTAATAAAGACCTCATACTTGATGATAAATAAATATCGTATGTATTGTATATCTTCACCAATGAGAATTGTCCTTTACTTAATGTTTAATAATTATTGCAGGAGAATATTGGGTAACACTTTATTTGGATAGTCTGCCCACAGATTGTTTATACAGTATTTGTAACATTTCAGCTGTTTAATAGCTGACATCAAACAATTCAACTGTTTCTCAAATAAAATGTTTTTTCTGATACTTCTGTTCTTTGGTTAGTGTTTGGTTAGGTTTAGACACAAAACACATGTTCATAAATTGTCACATAAATTCTAATCTGCTAAACATCTATACAGACAAACTGAAAGAGATGAAATAATACAAATACACTATAAACTATCTGTAGGTAGATTATCTAAATAAACAATAAATTAAATATATAGTTTCTTTTTTACCCAGAAAAATATGCAGAGGGTTTTGGAAATAGGATTCTGAAAAGTGAGAGGAACATGTCCTCCTCATCCCCCAGTGGAAATCATGCCCTTGTATATGAGTCCAGTTGTAAAATCAATATTTTGACTCTTGCAATTAAAAAAAATGTTCTTTCTCCAATGTTACATCATACTTGTAATCACATCTCTACAAACCATAACAGCATTTTTCAGCTTTACAATCCACACAACCTGTAAAAATCGACTAACCATCCAGATGAAGAAATAAAACACTGGAAACATATTAAAAATTAAGTCAAGCATCAAGAGTCAATATCAACGTAGGCTATTACTTGGGAAACCATCACCTTTGAGTCAGCACAAGACAAATGTGTTAGTGTACAGTCAAGAAAAGCTGATTTAGCCCGAATCATTGTGTTCAGTTACACTTGCTCCACAGATCCTAATTGAATTTCAGTGGCTGAAACAACCCCATCATATTTCATATTGGCCTAACTTTTGTTCTGCAGATTCCTGGTTAGCATGCATGGAAAAGTTCTTCTTACACTCAATATAAAGGCTGCATGCTCCATAAGAAACAAAAAAAAGAGTTTCGTCTCACCCATGAAATTCTTCCTTGGCCTGAATAATCAATCTTCTTGAATAACCCTTGAATCTGCGCATTGCACTGTAAAATTCAGAGAACAAAACAATAAAGCACAATGACACTTCTTATAAATTAATCAAGTAATTGGCAATGGCTTGTCCCTAATGAGAGAGTCTGAGAGAGATATAAAGACAAATGTCACACTGTCTTACTGTCTTTGGCAAGCCCAAACACGTCTTCACTATACGTCCAAACTTCTTCGCATCAATGGATCTCAAGCCACCCGTTTCAAATTCCTTTAGAAAGAAAACAGTCAAATCTTCCAGAAATGAATGTCTGTCATTGTGAAAGATGCAGTTTATATAGTACCTCAAATGCTTGTTTCAGTTTCTGGAGGTTGTCGAGTGATATCGTCTCGTCAAGCTTATCGAAGAGAGGAAAAATGGTGACATTATGTCATGACAGAAACAAATTATTATCATGCAGATTCATCGTCAATATTATAAAAAAAAAACATGCAATGGAAAATAAAAACAAAACTGACAGAAATGCTGCTTTCAGTCCAAGACTGCTAAAAATTCAAACCAAGGTTAGAGAGCTGTATACTTTAACTGAACATTCTGTAATTATCAACACACGACTGGGGCTCCACCTCTGAGTATTACAGACTGTCTGTAATCGCCCATGACATGAGTACTGAGATCATGCACAAGGCCAGGTGACAGGCCATGCTCTCTGTGTTAATGGCCTCTCTTCAAGTTGCCACGGTTTCCTAGCAACGAGTCCATGATCTGTGGCACACTTTGATCTATCATTAATAAATAAGGGGGATAAACAGCCTAATTCCTCAAGGAAGCAACTAGGGTCGAGGTTTCCCCACGGTTCCTCCTGAAATGCAGAGATAATTCTTTAATCAGTCAGAGTGATGGAAGTAGTGAAAGTGTTCACATAACCTCGACTGCTTTTCAAATCCCTTTATTAGAGCTGCATAACTTTGAACTCCTGAGCCTGTTCCGTCTAATCGGTTATGGCACATTGCTCATTACATTAAGCAAGACAGGGTGACTGACATCTGCGTCTGCAAACCCACAAACTTCAACCCAGTCCATTTGCACTAGCCATGTTTCAATCATTCCTGTCAGCTTGAGAGCTTGAATCTGAATCTACTAGGGTCCTCAAAGTAGTTGGCTCAGCAGCTATGTTTGTTTTACATTGGCCTGAAACATGGCCTTCCCGGGCTGTGGGACAGATTGTTCTGCCTAATGCGCTGTCAGGCTGCGAGTAAATTGATCATCAGCTTGATTTAAAATGGCATTTTTGGCATTACCTCACACTCATTCTGGTGCTGGTGAGATATGCTTCAGCTGAAGTTGAGTATCACTTTGGAAAGAGTCTATAAATTGGCAAGTGTAGCAAAGTAACACTCTAGTGACACCTTGAGGCTAAAAGCAGCAACTTTAAGAAAGAAGACTCATTGAGAAAGGGTACAAAATCAACCATGGCACTGAAATAATCTAGATTTAGGACAACCTTTCAGATGCAGATAGGTCCCAATAGGTCACATTTAATTGTCTCATTTAACTTTCAGATAGACATTTTGAAAACTGTACCTGGAGGCTGCAGAGACTGCGAGCTAAGTCAATACTGTGGTGTTGTTGTCTCATGATTTGAGCCTGATCTCCCAGTGTGACAGAGTGTCTTCGCCTGTTCTGTTTCAGCAGCTCTCGAATCAACCATTCAGGCTGCTCTTTTCTGTCCTCGCTGACACCCCCTCGTCTTGATGCTGAGAAGTCATCTGTGACTTTATTACTACCTGGCCCAGAAGTGTTTCTCATCCTGTCTTCTGTGCTCCACAGTTCAGAGAGGATGCTGAAGAATTTGAAATCTTTTAATTTGATTAAATGCAGGCACTGTTCTTATAATACATTGTTATTATGGCTAAATATGGATATTTTAAATGTATCTTTACTTGACTGTTGATAACACAGAATCAGTGCATTTCTGTCCCTAGGAAATTATATGCATAAATATGCATGAAAAAATCTTGCACAACCTTGCACTTTGTACTAATTGCGATTTGAAGATGCATCATGTAAAACCTTAGGCTAATAAAAACTAACAGTGAAAAAACAGGATTTCAGCCCATCCCCACTCGCTCACACTACACTTCATCATGAAATATAATGATGAGAAACCTTCAGAAATCTTTTTTGTATTTGTATTATTGTGTGACAATATTTCCAATTTAGATTTTATTTTTTTTAAATTGGAAATTCATAATATGTTAGTTAAAATACACATTTTAGTTACCCTGACGCATTCCCCCCTCTAAAAATGTATCTTATTAAGTCTTCTGAAGGCCATGGGAAGCCCAAATGTAGCTTCTATCTCTATTTTCTGTATTTTTGATCATATTATATAACTGAGAATGTCAATCTTAACATTCAGCCCTTTTACATAAATAATTTCCTCAATCTTATTATGTTTATGGGATTTTTAAGATAGTTTTGGTAATCCAACTAAAGATGGTCAGTGGTCTCATGTTATTAACACTGATGCCATATGGCTACATTTCATGTATTTGCTAAAAATATGTTACAAACTAAATCCTTTTACTTTCTGTCCTGTTCAGACAAATAAATAAAATGGCGAGATTGACAATTGCACATTTAATTTTGCAAAATTATTTATTTTCAGAAATTACAACATGCAAGTGGAACCAATTCAGTGGAGTGACCCAATGTTGCAAACTTTTTTTTTTAAGTGAAAACTACACATAAATCTACTTAATATTAGGAATGTGATGATAAATTCCAGGTGAGCAGTAGTACCTGGTAACTGCTCAGTGCTGCCACGGATGGCAACTCAGGCACCATGACAACAGTAAACAGTTTGTGAACATGAAACAGGCCTCAACCATACTCCCAATATCCCTTATCAAGACATTAAAACTGTTAGTGTAAAAAATATGAAAGTGGTGCTGAACAGGTATGACAACAAAAACCTGGTTTACAATGTTAGTCGGAGAGCAACAACACAGCAGATTACCTGGTCACATGTTGAGTTTCTAATCTTCCTGAAGCTGAAGAAGAGCGAACCTTTTTCCCTAAAGACATACTCGTTAGATGTTCTATCTTAAAGGTTACTGTGGTGTAAAAAAGCAGCACATTTCCTCAGTCTGACCTCCAAACAGATGTTAATCTGACAGATCTCACATTAGACTACCTGACACTCACTCTAACATTACACCTGAGCAGAGCAGGTGGCCCCATGGTAACTAAGAAACCAAGAGTGACAACTGAGACTACCACACTGAAGACAAGACTCTGCACTTACAGGGAGACAGAAAGCTTTGTCACCATGTTAAACCTAACAATATATATCCCTGTTTACATTGTACTTTAATCAGTTGAGGTAGGAGGTAATTATAGTTTAATTCATCTCATTCATGTTGGCACGTTTTTACATTTTCATTGCAACTACCGAGGGAATGAATAATCAAAAACATGATTAAATATTCCTTTTGGACAGACTTGAGAAACAGCATTTCATAATGCAAAAAGAGAAGAATGATGAAGAAAAAAGCATTCAGTGCAGATAGAAATCATTACATCAATGCAAGTTTCATTCTGTCTTTTTATCAAGCTACAAACAGGCTGTATAATGTCAGATAGCAGAATATGAGGGCGATGGATCATGAATGCAGACAAATATCTTTTCATCAGGCAGAGATGTTTAATTATCACAGCACACATGTTCCACACAGAAATGGCATAGCAAGTGAAAGTTAGTTTAAAGCACTTTTACCCCTACTATGACAAAAACACATAAAAACACAACATACAAACACAGAGCAATAAGGTTCAGAAAGGTCCTGGCCAGCTTGATATGCATTCTGGTAAGTAGGAATTAAGCCCAACTGCTGGAAGTTTATTCACTTTCTCCCTGTTGTTTGGATAATCATCTTTACTCAAAACAGCCTTCTTTTCTGCAAAGCAAAAGACACAAAACATGAATTACCTGCCTGTCAAACTCGACTTGTTAAAACGCTCAAACATTCAAAGGCATAAAATGATGCTAACCATCCTCCGGTAAAATTCTGTGTAACTGCTGCAGCTCCTGGGGCAGCAGAGACTTTATCACACATGCAACATTAGAAGCTCTCTTTCCACAAAACCTGTCGTAGTTAGTCAAGTGTGATCTTTTCTGCTGAGTGTGGACGTGCCTTTGCACAACAGTTGGAACTGCAACACATGGAGGAACTCATTAGGTGAACTGCAAGCACTCTTTACTGTGTTTACATTAGAGTTTTTTCAGCATACAGTACCTATACCACGGCCGGCCACGTGAGGATCTGCGCTGTGGCGGTAGCGCAGCAGCTCAGGTTTTTGCTTTGGCTGGCGGTAATTGTCCCTCATCTCTGTGTCAGTAGAGGGCCGCACTTCACGCCTGCTGTGCTTAGGTGCACATTTTCTTTCTGTATTATTAATATGATTATTATTAGTATCCTGTCAAACAAGTTCCACACAGTGAGCAAAATAAGCTGTAGAGAAAAATATTATGATTACACTGATTTGTATTGTCCATTGACTTGGACATGCCTGCATGCTTGAAGTTGTCATGAATTCAATTGTTCAGACATGCTTTTATATACACGCGACTTAACTGACAGACTTGTTTTACCTTGAAGCATACCCATGAAGTCACATCTGTAGGTGGAGCGGTACTGTGCTGTCAAGGCTTTGTTGATCTCCTCCTCAGACGGGGGACATTTCCAAGGGAAGCCGACATACTCTGAGCTTCGTGCAGTGTCCCTAGGCAGCCTCCACATCATGAAAGACTTGAGGAAAACAGCTTGACTTAAAGGTTACGATACACTGTGAGAGGTCAAGCATGGCATTCGACTATAAATGTAAAATTGAGGCTAACACAGCCTAAATACCAACCTGACTGGGATGTGGGTTGTTTCTCCTGTGCCCTGAGGCAGTTCCTGTACGGATGCATTCAGGTTTACAAGATGACTTCCAGCTAAAATCCTGATTGTACACAGTTGAACCGAAAGGTCCAGATTTTGAATAGGAGTCTATAAATGAAGTTGACGTTGGGCACCTGCATATGCAATCAATATAAACATACAATTACACCCCAATACACACAGAAAATGCACAAATGATGTATGACTACTCAGAACTTAACCATAAACCCATAAACAGAACTTACAGCAGAATCTCTGCAGCTGAGTTTGGCCGGTAGACGAATTGTCTCCCATGAGATGTTTCATATGGATCCCACCACTGTTTGCCCTCTACAAGAAAATATATTAAACTGTAACACTTAATTCTTGATATGTTGTGTACACCAGTAAACACACCCAATTCAGGGTAGGAACCAAAAAGGAGACAAGAATAAGGAATTTAAATTAAATAATACAATAATATTTGCATTGCTGTAGTGAGTAATAATAATAAAACATAACTGTGCAACAGTCCAACATAATAATGTGGAATTATTCCAGCTAAAAATATATAGTATAATGTACCAAAGTCATATAGTCTAATAACAAAACACGTGATAAACCTATATTACACTTAACCAAGATGTAAGAAAAAATATCTACTAAATCAAATGTAACGTGTTCTCTTTCAATCTTTAAATATACTTGGTTCAACATTACCTCTGGTTGCCATTGGTGACCACTGTTTTGGTACCTTTTGTTATCGTTGTTCTCGGTGTAATGAAAACCTTTCCATTTCCATTTCCAGAGTAGAGTTCACTTCATGGATGGCTTCCTGAAAAGCGTATAAGTGATAACCGAGGGTCCTAAATTTGAGACTGTGTGTACATGAGAAAGTTTCACTTTCAGGTACTGGCTCTGTTTGAACAGAGCTGATCCCTGCCAGGATGTTTCTAGGTGCTGTGGTTATGGAGACCTACAACATTTGAATGGGCACTGTGAGCTGCTCAGCAGGGGAGATGTTGCATTAAAAATTCAACATAGCCAAAGATTCCTTATAAAGTAGCTTCATTCATTTTGTGCTATGATCTTCAACTTAAAACATTTCAATGTTAAACACAAAACTCATAAAAGGAAATCCTCCAGATCTTTTAATTAATTAGTTATTAACTAATTCACTCAGTCAGACAGTCATCTAATAATCTTAACCTTTAAATCTGGTTTTAATTTGTTAAAATAAATAAAACCTAAGATAAAATACAATCCACTGTGACCAGATAATAAAGTGATACACCACAATATTAAAATTAGTGGTATGTATTTGATACTAAGGAGAGTTTGCAGATGCTTACTTACATATTTACTTTACTTAAGTGTACTTAATGTTGTTATTTCACATTGTAGTATTACTTTTTCCTAAGTATATGGGTAGTTTCCCATCCCAACTTCACTCTTTCCCCTCACTGAATAATACATCTTTCCCCTTACTATGGGTATTTTATGCTATTTCATGCTTTAATTATTTAATCTGCCCCAGTGCGGTTAGTTTTGCAACATGTTTTATCTGCTTTATAGTTTGAACTGTTTTCATTACTGATTTATAATTTTTATTCTACCTCACTTTGGTGTGATTTTATTTATCTGACATTATTTTCGCCTTATTACAACCTGGAATGCTTTTAATCCATGTAAGAATATCTGTTTTGGAAATGCATGCTGCATAAATAAAGTGTATTATTATTATTATAACCATTATAATTATCACCAGAATAAAAAGCGCTTGCTGTTCAAGTTTAGCGCCATCGCCCCGTCGTGTTTTGGACAACCAACTGTACAACAACTATGACTGAGACAGCCAGTGTCCAATAAGATACTCCAAGGAGTTGACGGCAGCCAATGTCCGACAGCCGGAGCCCAACACACGGGATAAACACCGAGGATCCTCGCAGCCGAAGCACCGCGGACTCACTGACTGGTGCTTTTCGTCCCATTGTTCGAGACGTACCGACGTACAGCTGGCCTCTTGTAGCGTTTGTAAACGGGGGTAAGCATAATGAATGTTGACTTATTAACAAAGCAGACTATTACCATTGCGTCTTTATGAATGAAACGCTGCGCTGCGCTGCGGTTTGAAATGTTTACATCGGTGTTGCGCATGTTTAGTTGCGCGACTGATTCGGAAAGGATGTTTTGAACACTGCCTTGCTAACTTAGCTAACTACGTAGTTACCAACGCTGACATTGCCGCAGCATTAAATAACAACCAAAAACAAGCGGAAAACCGCCCCCTTCCCCATGACCGAGCTAATTACTACGGGTTAGCGTAACGTCCGCTGATGTATCCCCCGCTAACAACCGACGAGCTAACTCATGTAGCATTCTCTCTCTGCGTTACCCTGACAATGGTTGCTATCATGGAAGCTAACGCTAGCTAGAGGGTGAACGTAGGTTAATAGCGCTGACTGGTGCTGAGGCAGCCCGGGTGAGGTGAGGTGATGCAGGCAGGAGCATCTTTCCTCCCTCCCTCCCTCCCTTCCTCCCCCCACCAAGCCCTCCCTAAATTATCAGTTTCAACGAAACAATGAAACCAAAACAATCCGGCTGTTGGTGTTAAACAGGAGGCCGGTTAAAAAGGGCTAGAAGAAAGGGTGTGTGTGTGTGTGTGTGTACTCCGCTAGCCATTGTTAGCAATCTAATCAGCCATTTTAATAATCGTCATCATGGAAATGAGCACCGTGGCATGCAAGCTCGCTGCTACCAGCTAGCCTAGCTTTAAAAAAAAAAAAAAATGCTAACGAGAGGACACAAAGCAAGAGCGTGCAATCAAAGGGGCTGTGGAAGCTAATGCTAATGTATTCATCTACAACCCCCCCAAACTCCAAGCTTGATGCACATTAATATCAAAGGGAGGCTAAAGTGTAAACTGTGTAACATAACGCGCTGTTGCTGTGTTTCTCCCTAGCTCCGTACTATAATCACTGTGACTGGATGCGGGAGGTATAGCAGTTTTAACTGATGTGTAGTATTAAAAGGAGCATCATGTTGGCCTGTACATACAATGGATTATCAGTCATCCCAGACACCCTCCTCCCACCACCCAGATTTAAACAATAGATGCATCTAACAAAGCAAGAGGCAGACAACTGGTGGGGGGTTACTGTGATATTGCCACTGCCGCTGCATGAGTTGGACTTGGATATATTTTTCTCAAAACTTGTGTTATATATATATATATATTTATATTTATGTTTATTTTTTTCCCCCCTATATATTTAGTAATCCAAGATGGTAAAAGATCCAAGGAAGCCGAGAGGCAAAATGTCCTCATATGCCTACTTTGTGCAAACATGCCGAGAGGAGCACAAGAAGAAACATCCCGAGGCCTCTGTCAACTTTGCAGAGTTCTCCAAGAAATGCTCTGAGCGTTGGAAGGTACAATAAATTACTGTCAATAATTTAATTGATTTAATTCTCTGAATCTTGTATTTTTCTCTAAAACTCTCTCGCTTGTGTTTTTTCCCCCCAAAAGACTATGTCTCCCAAAGAAAAAGGCAAGTTTGAAGATATGGCCAAACTAGACAAGGTGCGCTATGAGAAGGAAATGAAGAATTACATTCCCCCCAAGGGCCAGAAGAAGAAGCGATTCAAGGACCCCAATGCCCCCAAGAGACCACCGTATGTACCACAACCAACCTGCTCCACACTCAGTTTTTTTTTCTTCTGACAATAAATGCAAAGTGGATTATTATATCTTCAACACTGACATCTTTCCCTCCACCCAACAGGTCTGCATTCTTCATATTCTGTGCTGACTTTCGTCCCAAGGTAAAAAGTGAGCACCCTGGACTCTCCATTGGGGACACAGCAAAGAAGTTGGGAGACATGTGGAACAGCTCAACTGCAGAGGACAAGCAGCCGTATGAGAAGAAGGCTGCAAAGCTGAAGGAGAAGTACGACAAGGTAAATAGACTAATTGTTTTTGAGGTCCAACCATAAAAGTTTGGGGTCTTTTTTACTTTGAAGCTTGTAAAAGAGAGTAAAAGGGTCTTTCTGTGGCACTTAAAAAAAACACATTTTCTGTGCTTGCCACAGGATGTCGTTGCCTATCGCACGAAGGGCAAAGTGGATTCAGCATCGGCTGCTACAGCAGACGACGACGATGAGGAAGAGGACGAAGAGGAGGTAGAGGAGGAGGAAGAAGAAGACGATGACGATGACGATGATGAGTAGATGATTGCACCTTGGACCTGAAGTTTTGTTTATGCCATATAACCCTAATATACTCAATTCACCACCTTGAAACAGAAGTCAGACTGAACAAGAACATGTGTATATTTAATGTTTTTAAGATGTACAGTGTTATTCTCCTTTTTTTTTTTGTAAAGTTAACACTACATACGTTGAGTTGGAGATTTTCTAGTGGTAGTTCTTTATCCCTGCCATATTATGTAACAATTTAGGACTGCAAATCAGTATGAAAGTAACTAGTCTTTAGGTGTTCCAACTCAAAAATGAAAATTCTGAGTTGGTAGTGTATTTTTCTTTATTTTGAAAAATATTTTTTTATGTGCTGTCCCGATGTCTTTTTATTCTTTGAATACCACTCTAATATCAAATGCAGCTGTCGACATTCAAGAATGTCTTCAATAAAGGTCGTTTTTCTTAAGACGTTTGTGTTTTCTTCCTCTAATTTTAGCTCTCTCAACAGCTCAAAGGCAAGCAGTCGGTTAACAAAGACGAGATGTGTTGAACATCAAGGGTACACATGAATAATTCAAACCCCTTTTCATATAGAAAGTATAACTGATGGCTGCGCATGTGAGTAAGTGCAAGACAGCATGACTGGTCTGTTGCCAGATTATGATCTAACAGTATAGCTGAAAATGTTAGATTTGAACTAAATAATTAGATTTTTTCTTTTGGTTTCTGAAGCGTAAATAGTTGGAGTGAAACTGCCTTTGGATAATTAATACAAAGTTGGTTCCGGGAAATATTTGGCCAGCAGAACAGGAAATTGGCAGCGACTAATATTAACGTAACGCTTAATAAGTCTTAGTTTCATTAGAGTTTATTGGCTCTGAAGGATTCATTCATTTACCTTTGTGTGTTCTCTCATTTGTAAGCCCTACCCTGTACTCGGCTTCCACAGTTCAGTTTTCCACAAATTAGCATTTAAGTGTAATCCCGAGTTGATTATTACACTGGAGTCAGCTATAACAACATAACAAACTAATCCAGAGGGTGGCGCCACAATGAAGTAAATTCTACAGTAGAATATATGCAGTTGTATATTTAAACTATAGTGATTGTTTCATGCACATACAAATACTCAGCCTGCATGGGCCAACATCCTGTTGTGGTGAGATATTTGTCAGAAATGATCATAACTTTATACATAACATTGCAAAGAAAGAACCTTGTCTTCTGTCCAATGCTCAAATATACTCAACAACAAAAGGTAATCTCCCTAAAATACTCAAGCTTAAGTTTCTTATAATCATCCAGAAGACCTCAGTTTTATTAAAGAGAATAGCCATTAAATCATCATATAATAAGCAATGAAACGTGAGATGCACTTTGTCTTGAGTCTCACCTAAATTACACAGCACAGTCTTTTCTCTGCATGGAGACCATAAACCTGCCTGTTTCTGATGTAGTTGAATATAATTGTAATTAAACTCTAGTTGTTTTTCATCAGATAACATAAAGAATATAACAAACTAATTCAGATTTATACCAAACACACATGGTTGATATATTGTTTGGTCCTAAATGTTAAACCATTGAAAAAGTATAAGTCACTCTATGACACTGACACACTTTTCCAACAATACAATGATTTGTGACTAAAGGAGGATAAATACCAACTTTAGGCAGAGTTATACTAACTACATCGAAAACATGAAATTAGGTTTCATGCGTCTATTTTGGTCCCACCAAAGTGTCCAAGTGGAAAAGTACTTTTTGTGTTTTGTGTGTGCGCTTCCCCAGCGAGACCAGGCAGGGACCTTTTGTGATCCTTTGCTCGGATAGAGTTCCCTCTGCGTGTAATTTGAGACTGTCTCACAGTCACGGTGGCCTCACAGTCACTTAAAGGGGGTTCACATGTCCATTTATCAGACTTTTCTCAGCAGCATTGCCCTTTGCCATACAAAGAACTGTCCTCTCAACAGTGTTTGCAAATATGAATGAAGCCACAGTGGCTTCCTTTCAGAAACCGGCTTTCATCCTCAGTGTTCCTGCATGTAGTTAACATTAGGGTTACAACAGTACGTTTTTATTAGGGAGACCGCGGTAATAATGGTGGTTCTGTTCCCCTATGTGTTATATTAACAATAATCCAGTTCCATAAATGCAATAACATTAGTAATTTCTCTCTTATTATATAGAATTGCTCTGAGAAACTGTTAGATTTTAGTTATGTTGGTACACTAACAATCTGGTAATCTAAATTCAGCTTTAGCATTCTGTGCTACAGTGTCATGTCAGCTCTCTTTTGAAACCTGTGATTCAGAGCAGCAGTTTTCTTTATTTTCTCTCCTTTCACCAACTGAATGAATGCCTTGCAAGTCTCTGAATGAATCCCCCTGTCTGACATGCAGCAAGAAAGACTCCCTCTAGGCCACCTTACTGGAGGCAACCGTTCAAAGAGTCCATTTCATCTCTACATTGTGGAACCTCAATAGCAAAATCCATGGAGAGAATATAAAACAGACTAATTCAGCGAAGCAGTGGTGTTTATTATTACTCGTTTCTTTTCTAGTTCTCAGAATGCAGGTGGATTTTTTTATAAAGAACGCAAGCTCATGTGGACTAATTAATTTACAGACTATGAGGCATGAATTCTTTTAAGATACATACAGCAACAACAGCCTTTATATTTGCGGCATTTTTGAGCTCTAAAAGAAGTTTTTTTCTGCTGCAGGATTTGCATAGAGTGATGTCAAAGGGGCGTGTCAGTCAGGATTACAAGCTGAGAAGATTGAGTAATCACTATGGATACAGCTTTTATAGTTTTCCATTTGTTGGTCTTGTGTGGAGGTAATGCTGTGCAGTTTCCAGGAGTTCACTTTTTACTCCTGTGTGTTTTGATTTGCTTACGGTCTTATTCTCTTACTTAATTTTGCAATTATGACCAAGTAAGAGGCACTCTGGGAGTAAACGTTATAATGGAGTCTACTGGACAATGGAGAAAATATACATTTTTAATGTTTGTGTTTCTGGTAAGTCAGCCTATTAGCTTGTGTGCTGCATCAGTGAGAGCAAGTTTTTGATATAACTGATTACAATTTATGTTTAAACAAATCTATTAAATTTTAATCATTTATCAAATGTATACAGTTATAATGCATTTAAATGTGTGGATCATGTACAGGCTGTCTCCCTCTGGGACAAGAAGACTATCATTCTAGTATTCAAATGCTTCTAAAATTGCTTTTTTATGCATATTTCACTTTAAAAGGAAACAAGACTGTATTTTGTTTTCTATTGTTCCTCAGGTGTTTAATACTACATCCTCTCCTTCATCTGGAAATAGAGTGAATGTGAGCAGCGAGAGGCAGTTTGCAGATATCGTCTTACGGCAGCATACGCTTCCCTCCTGGTATTATACATCTGACGCTGTGCCCAAGCATGGCACAGTCAGCTTACACGCTCATAACAGATGGCGAACACAGATGGCTTTCTCCAAAACTGTTCATTCATTTGAAGTGAAGGAAGACACAGTACCAGGTGTGTCATCTGTGCAGCAAGGCCTTTCCCCATGTAAATTAGGCACAAATGCATAATGTTTGAAATATTATTTAACATGTGATTTTAGATTTATACCCCCCTCATTCCTATTTAGGATAATTAAGGTCCTTCTGTTTTTAACTATGTTGCCAAATGTTTTCTTTTCATTATGCAGATATTAGATCACCCATTAGATTATGCATTATCTATGTGTTGACAGGAACAGTTGTGGGAAAGGTGGAAACCGTGTTTGAGACTCTCACGCCTATCACATACTCAGTGCAGGAGGATGACGGAGAGAACCTGTTCCTCCTCAGCCCCCTCTCTGGGGAGTTCCTATTATCCCGCAGCCTGGATTTTGAGGCACAAAGCTTCTACATACTCACTGTGGTGGTGCAGCAGGGGGTTTCACAGGTATCCAGTGTCAGGGTGTACTTCAGTGTGTTGGATGTGAACGACAACCCCCCTGTTTTCAGTCAGGATACCTTTTCTGCATCATTGCTGGAAGACACGCAGGTTGGCACGTGCTTCCTGTCCTTGAATGTGTCAGATAAAGATGAGGGTAAGTGCAGAAGTACAATTTAAATATAACATTCATATATGCCAACTGCAAAACAATATGATCAATAGGATCAAAATACAGTGACAGTGAATAAAAAACATCCTGGGTGGGAAAAGTTGTGGGAAATGTAGCTGTGTAGTTACACAGCTACATTTTTTGGAACATTTTCTAATGTTCAGAGCTTCCTCTTCATGATTTGATCTTCATCCCACAACAAAGGCTGTCTAATGCACCTTACCGATTTACATCAGCATCTTCATGTTTAATAAGCATTGCCCATGAAGTCCTTTCCAAAGGAAAGCTATTTTTTTACATGAATAGTTAAAAGTGTATATACTTACTGCTCATGTGCTGTAAATACAGGATTTATTTTCACTGTCCTATATCCTTTTTTTCACATGCTGCTTCATTTACACTGATCAGCTGTAACAATATGACCACTGACAGCTCAAGTGAACACACTGATTATCTGGTTATCATGGCACCTGTCAGTGGGTGGGATATATTAGGCAGCAAGTGAACATTTTGTCCTCAAAGTTGATGTGTTAGAAGCAGGATAAATGGACAGTGTTAGGATTTAAGACCACCAGGGTGACCAGATGGTCATCATGTTATGGCTGATCGGTGTATAGGTCTATTCAATTAATGGGGTCAAATTGACAATCCACATTGCATACCGTCCAGTCCATGCCAATAAGATGCTACAGCCATGTATGCTAGCAGTTCTTTTTTTTTAAAGTTAAAGACTTTCTGTAAGCATCCAAATCTTTCAGTTCGTCATAGCAATAAAAATGATAGCAATGAAAAATGTTGCCCCATCGATTGGATTGACCTGTACATGGCGAGCTCAATCTGCCAGTGTGAAGAAAAGCATGGATGACTGTGAAAATTAAAGCGTCCAAGTTATGAGTGTGAGAAGGCATAATTAATATTCACACTTTCTTCAGCTACACATGCCACATTTGGCAAGTCAAATCCAGACATCTTGGGAATCGTGTTTATCTTTCTCTTTATTTATTTATTTATTTGACTGTGTCTTGCTGAAAATGCATACTTCTGAGATGGAGGCTAAAGTCTGCACATTTTAGTTTCCCATTTGCCATTTGTGAATTCCTACTATATATGCATTAGCATATGCACTTAGTAACAAACAGGTTTTAGTATCAGTGTGTAATGTGCAAAGTGCAACGTTTTGTTCTTTGATTTATAGGACACCAAGCCATTATGAGCCATCGTGTATTATCTTTTCCCCTCTGCAGGCGACAATGGAGACTTGAAACTGAGAGTGGTCGGTGGAGACGAAGAGGAAGTGTTCTACATAAACCCAGCAGGTAGTTTATGCCTGAACACTGAGTTAGACAGGGAGAGACAAT